TTTGTCTAAACATGCATAGGATTGCTCCCTAAACCACTTAACCACCTATCTTACCACACATCAAAAGTGGGTATGCAAGGTTTCATGTATAAACTGGATCATCTCCGTGAGCTCATCACAGCAGCAAACTATGTGGCGAGTTCTTCTAAATGGTCCATTGACAGAGGAAAGGCTTTGGACTGCATCCTCCTCAGTGGATGTGAACTTCATAGTAAAGTCTGGCTTACGATATCAGAAGTATGTATTTACTGAAATTATTTGCACACACTCCTTTTCACCAATATTGCCCATCCCTGGCAGTTTACAAAAAAGGCATAGCAATATATAATGCAAAAAGCATAGAAATATAAAAGCAGCAATTGAGTAACCAGAATCATAGCCACACCATTATGCCACATCAAAAACCACAAAGAGCCTTGTGGTATCTTAAAGACTGATTAACATATTTAGACTTAAACTTTCCTGGATATGATCTGCTTCAGCAGATGCATGTGATCAATTCTATTTCCCATGGCTTAAATGAGAACAAGGATTTTAAAAAAATCTTAGTACATATGTTCACTGGATTGTCCTTGCAATGACAGAAATAACTGGGCATGTTTAGCCTCAAGAAGAAAGGATCGCAGGGCGATGGGATACCACTCTTCAAGTACTTGAAAGATTGTCACAAAGAGGAAGGCCAGGATATCTTCTCAATCGTCCCAGAGTGCAGGACACAGAATAAGGGGATAAGTTACAGGAGACCAGGTTCCTGATGAAGATCAGGAGGACAGTCAGAGCAGCATGAAAATGGAACCAATTACCTAGAGCCATTCAAGATGCAACTGGACGGACATCTGAGTAGGATGGTAACTTGGAGTCCTGCACTGAGCTGGGTGTTGGACCCAATGGCCCACTTAGCCCCTTCCAGCTCTACTATTTTAGGAACATTTTGTGAGTGACAGCCATTGATGCATGCAAGTGTAATCCGTCAGTTCCACCTGGCAACAATATGTACATTTCTTCCTTCTCCCCACCCCTGTTATGTATCGTCAACTGGTCTCTGAATGCAAGCTCTCTAAAATGATCTGTTGTACTCTGTTCTTCTAAGTTCAAGGCTTAGAAGTCTGTGGCTTCCTTTATGGATTCAGTCCATCTCTTATTTGGTCTTCCTTTCCTTCTTCTGCCTTTAATTTCCTTAGCATGATTGTCTTCTCCAGTGAGTCTTGCCTTCTCATGATGTGCCCATAGCATAACAGCTGCACTTTTGTTAAGTTTGCTTCCAGGGAAACTTCTGGCTTGATTTGATCTAGGGCCCATTTGATCATCTTTCTGTTGGTCTAGGGCAGTGGGTTTCAACCCTTCCATAGCTGGGGACCAGCAAAAACGGGAAAACCACCTCCGGGACCACTGAGGCAGAAACAAAGAGCACCATACACGAAGTACAGTATTCTGTGTATTAATTTCCAAACACAATATCAAAAAAATGAAAATTCTCCAAAATCAGAAACCAAGCAACAAAAAATGCCAACAAAAGAACAAAATAGAGGAATGGGTGCAGCATGGCTCCAAGCCAGCCCCCACCGAGCTGTCTCTCCCCTCCCTGGCCTTCCCCAGCAGCACTGGTGCAACCCCCATGAACGCAAGGGCAACCAAGAGGTGGTAGAGTACAGCCAGTCCCCATGCCAGTCCGTGATGAACAGGCAGGACTGGCAGGTAATCTGCCATAGCAGGAAACTGGCAGGAAATCTCCCATACAGACTGGAGGTTGAAAACCACAGGTCCAGATTATTCACAAAGCTTTTCTCCAGCACCATGTTAGCTTTCTTCACTGTCCAGCTTTCACACCCATACATTTTGATAGGGATCACAGTAGTGTGGATGGTCTTGCCCTTGGTCTCCAATCCTTGATTATCTTTTCTAGTTCCTTCATTGCTGCCCTTCCAAGTTTCAGTCTTCTTCAAATTTCTTAGCTTCCTGTGAATTGATGACTGAGCTATGTAAAATCTTTACTAATTTGATTTTTTCATACACTGCAGTACTGCTATTTTTCTGTGATCATTTTTGCTTTCTTAATATTCAGCTGCAGTCCTGCTTTTGCACTTTTTTTCTTTCACTTTTATCTGTTGTTTTAATTCATTGCTGTTTTCTGCCAGTAGGATGGCCTCATTTGCATATTGTAACTTATTGATGTGGGGTTTTTTGTCTATTTTCATTCCATCTTCTGATCCTAACCCAACTTTCCTTATGGTTTGTTCTGTGTATAAACTGAACAGATAAGGAGATAAAATGCACCCTTGTCTGATGCCTTTGCCTATGGGAAACCATTCTGTTTCTCCATATTTTGTCCTAACAGTAGCTACTTGTCCACAACACAGATTACACATAAGGACAATCAAGTGTTGAGGTACATTCATTTCTTTCAGGACCATTCATGCTTCTCATGATCCACACAGTAAAAAGGTTTTGCTGTAGTCTATAAAACACAGAATAATCTTCTGAAATGGTTTGGTGTGCTATTTGGTCAACCTATATTTTCAATAAGATCTCAAGTCCCTCTTCCTTTTCAGAATCCAGCTTGAATTTCTTGCTCCATATGGGGCTCTAGTCTTTGTTGTAACACCTTCAGCATCACTTCGCTTGTGTGGGAAATTAGTGCACTGGTCTAGAGTTGATGCACTTCTCAGCATCTTTCTTTGGAATTGGAATGGTATCAAAAGTGTCTGGTCTGTGGGTCACTGTTTTGTTTTCCATATGTGTAGGCCTGTGTTTGTTAGGCTTTGGACTGATTCAGTTTCTGCAGCTTTGAACACTTCTGCTGGTATCCTATCTAATTTGGGTGCTTTATTCTTTGCGAGCACATTCAGAGCAGCTTTTACATCACTAATATTGCAGGCTCTTCTTCATAGGATTCCTCTTCAAAGAAGTCTTTGAAGTTTTTAATCACTCCTTTACAATTCCTCTTTATATTGTTCCACCTACCCTTTATTTTCTCCTCATCAGTTATTATGTATGTCTTTTTGCATTCCCAATCTCATTTTGAATTTCACTTTGCTTTTCTGGATATTTTGGAAAAGGACTCATTTTCCTCCGCTGTTGTTCTCTTCTATTTCTTTGCATTGGTCCCCTGTAATAGTACTTTTTGTCTCTGCATGATAATCACTGAAAAGTTACGTTCAGGATTCTGTCCCAGTAATATCCATGTAAGCAGCCATGCTGCCCACCCCTGTGTGTATATAAATATGACCATTTGAAATTAATGTTCCTTATTTCTATCAAACAAGTATGGAAAACCAGCATTTGTACACAGAGAAAAATGTCTTGCAATTCCCAGCATTTCTCAGCTAGCCATGATGACTGGGAATCTTCTAAAATGTAAGACTTTAAAAAAATGTCCAAGCACGCACAGGTCTGTGCCCTAAATGGTTAGCTTTTAACATGTTTAATTTTTTGTTTTTTTAGTAATCAGTAAAAGGAACATGTAAAATTGAATAAGATCTTCAGAATTTATATGCTGCCAAGTTCCACACAAAAAAGTTTTGATCAGTATTTCATTTGGCTACCAGATAAACAGAAGGTTAATTTCCTCAGCTTGTTACCACCACTGAGAAGGTCCAGTTCCTCCTAGATACTCACCTCCCGCAGGGCATTCAGAGCAAGGTCTCAGTTTAAGATTTTGATAAATGGCCAGGTTCTCACTTATCAGAGGCGGTGACCAGGGAACTGGCTCGCTCTGGGCCAGTGGGGCCCAGCCCCTGAATCTGCTGTCCATGACCTCCAGGCCTTTAGTGTCCCTCGGTGCTAACGGAAGGTTTTCTTTCTCAGCTTAATTAATATGCAAAGAGCGATCCTTGAGGATGACTGCAGCTAGAGCGGGAACGTGCTTCACTGTCTTCAAACCCCACCCTGCCATGGCAAGTATGAGAAGACCGAGGGAAGGTGCGATCTTCCCATCTTTTCTCAAGCTCCGGGGACAAGCAGGGGGAGGATTCTTCCAGGAAGACCACAACTGGAGAGAAGCAGGAGTTACCGTGTGCGGCCCAGCCACCGCTCCGCACAGCAATGGAATTGGAAAGGAAAGGGGGCCAGTCCGCTGACGCCAAAGGAAGGATCGGCCCCAAATCTTTTACGCGCCTAGCAACGCCCCCGGCCGTGGCGCCTCCCCGGGACAGGTGTACATCAGCCGTGCTGCGGTTTCCAACCAGGACCGTCGAAACGAGCCCCGAGCCAGCCAGCAGGTGGAGCTCCCACCCCTGGACTCTCCGGTCTGCTTCGAACAGGCGAGGAGGGACAGAGCCGGGGGGAGGAAGGGGTTAAGCAGCCGCTGCTGATGGTGGAGGCGCCTCAGCCTGGATGCCTCTTTAGGGAGACCCACCCGCTGCTTGCTTCCCTTGCAGCCCACCCAGCCGCAGTGGCGGTGGGGAGAGGACACGCTTGGCGCTGTCGGGTTAGCGATGCACCAGCAACCGGAGGCGGCCGGGCGAGCAGCGGCCAGCAACGTGGAGGGAGGTGCGGAGCGGGCCAGCGCCTGATGCGGTTCTTCCTCCTCCTCCTCCTCTTGGGCAGCGGCTCCGGCAATTCCCTCCCTTCTTCCTCCTCCTCGTTTCCCGGCGGCATCGGCCGCAGTTGGCGCGGCGGGGGAAAATGAGCAGGTCGGCGGCGGCGGCGGCGCTTCTGCTCTGCCTGCTGGGCTGCAACGTGTGGAAGGCGGTGACCAAAACCTTAGGAGCGCCCGATGCGGCTCAAGGTCGGTGCGGAGGGGAGGGAGTGACCGATCGATCGGGGGCTAAAGGGGGCAGCCGGGAGCTCCTGCGGCGACGGGGACGCGCCGCCGCCTCTCGGGCAGGGTCTCTGGAGGGCTGCTTTGTGCTGGGCCCAGGGGGTGGGGGGGTCGGTAAAAACACGCGCGCGCAAAACGGGCTCTGGAGGGCGATTCTTCTCCGGAGAGGCGGCGACGCCGCCGCTGCTGTTGCACCGTCGCCGCCAAAGGAAACTGGAAGCGCTCGGTAGTAGCGGCGGTGGGACGCCTGGCCAGGAATCAGCCGGGAGGCTTTTGTTACTGGAGCTGGCTTTGTGCTTCCAACTACGACCTTTTCCTTGCTTTCCTCCCTTCTCTCTCCCCTTCCCCCCCACCCCCGTTTCTCTTTTCCAGGCTTTTTCTCTATAAGGCTCCTCCCCCTTCCTTCCCGCGCTAGCGCCGCGATGCCTCGGTGATGGGCGCTGCGTGTCGGTGTGTCCCCTCTAGCGGCTTCCTCTTTGAGCATCTTCCAACTGGTGTTGACTTGCCTGTGTGTGTGTGTGGGGGGGTGCTGGGCTCCTTTTTATCTTGGGGTTCCCAATGATTAGTTGTGTTTTTAGAAAAAAGGACGTGGAATATAGGGATGCCTGGTAATTTTCTGTGACCCCTGGAATAAGGGACCTTTCCCTTAAAATAAAGGCTGTCTGGCCAAAAGAAGGAGCTGGGTGGGGGAGAAGGGGCCATCTGGCAAACCTGCGCCGCCCCCCTTGACAAACTGTTCACGGCTGCATTGTGGTGCCTCCTGCAGAAGCCCCCGTAATGGTGCCCCCAGTTCCTTTTCTGCGTTCTGTACCTGGTGCTTCTGTAATATGCTTGCCATTAATGGAGAGGTTGCCCATATTGCTTCCCCATTGTGCACCTCCCACTCTTGCCCCTTTTCTTTGGACAATGTCAATTATCTGTGGCCCCTGCTTAGCAGTGACACGTGCTGAAAGTTTCTCCCCCCACCCACAGCTCCACCAGATACTTCTGTGGGGCAGTGGAGTATAGCTTTCAGGTTTGCCCATCTGTAATCATTCACAGTGCCTTTTGTATGATGCCATAAAATCACAAGAGCAATGTGTCGCCTACTAATAAGGCTCTGGGCTCATTTGTTTTGCGGTCATTAAGTAATTGTACGTGACTCCTGTGCCTTGCTTTTGTATTGCTGTGTTTTTCTTCTGAGCACAAATAATCTTATATGACATCCTTTCAGATGTGTTGGACTGCAGCTCCTGTCATCAAGAAGCATGAGCGATGTAGTCCCACATATCTGGAGAATGTAGGATTGAGGAAAGCTGCTGTGTGGTACTCGCCCTTCCAAAAGCTTTAACAGCGCGTGTTGAAATGAAACAGCCACCCGTGTAACACTGGTGTTCCTTCTCGTTGATGAGAGCCAATTTTAGCCAAGTAAAACAGCTTTACCGTATTTGCCAGGCGTGCTTTCATCAGCAAATGGCACCTGTGTGCTGTAAATAGGATGCTCCCATGGCAATAGTGGAGGTGGGAGAGATACTCCATCACCATTTAGTCATGGCTCCTGGTTGCATTTCTATCCTTTCTTGCAGCTGTACTGCTCCCCTTCTCCCCAGGCGCTCAGAAAGAGATCCCCCACCTCTCACAAGCATCTGAACTACTGGAGCGTATACGTATGCTAACATGCAGCAAACCCACTTTTTCTGTTGGAAAATAATGACGTTGCTGCAGGATACAACAGCTGCAAAGTAGTTGGTACTGAAATTAAGAGGCTTTGTAAGGCAGGACATTCATTCTTTTAAAACCTTCATCAAGCCAAGCTAATCATATTTCTCCAGTATCAAGGATGGAAAATGAGTTCACCATGGTTACAATCCCATCCCCCACTTTTTAGGGAGGATGCATTTAATGGCCTGTGACCTTTAAGTGACACCATTTTGTACCCAATAAAAGTCAAATGACAATTGTGCCTGTTGCTCTATCACTCCTGGTCTTTGAGGCAGGGTAACTATATGTTATCTCTAGTTCCAGTTGCTGGAGAACAGTAGAGAGATGCTGCTCTCCCCTTCCTTTCCTGCCAATGGGATGGCCTCTGGTGTGATCAGAATGCTGGTACCCTCCAAATAGTTTGGACTTCACCTTCTATCAGCTGACATGGTCAGGAATGCTGGGAGTTGTACTCTAAAGCATCAGAAAGTCACCAGTTTGGGGAAGACTAAGATAGGCCCCTGGTCTGATGCAGCAAAAATCTTCTGCTGTTCTTAAGAAACAGGATTGACCATAACTCAGTAGCAGGACCTACCTCACATACAGAAGGTTCTAGATTTGATTCCTGGCATCTCTAGGCAGGGTTAGAAAGGAATTCTTCCTGAAACACCAGGAAGCAGCTGCCAGTCAGTATCAGCAATACTGGTCTGACATGGCATAAAGTCAAGTTTCCAATGTTCCATTGCTCTGTATTTTACTATACACTTTTAAGCCCCTTATTCCCAAAGTTCTAAGCTCTAATCCTGTAGTCTGAATTCTATTTTGCTTTGATTTCTTGAACTTTAAAGTTCTGCAAAGAAACCCAGGGTAGGATTTCTGTTACAACTGAAATAACTGATCAATGAATTAAAGCACATCTCTAACTTATCAATAAAAATGTAGATAGTTTATTGGAGCGACTCCTAGTAACTGGGTATTCATTGCCATATTTCACAAAATGGAAAGAATCTGGTATGGAGAGTAAACAATACTTAAATTCTGTCAATTTCAGTTAAACATTAGTGTGCATAACAGGTTATCAGGTTCAGGTTATCAAACAAATGGTAACATGCAAAATATATATTTCATAGAATTCTTCATGCATTACTTACATCCCTATAGAATTCCTATTGCATTCCCTAACATGTAGCTATGTTGATTTCACAGTGTCTGTATCTTCTCAAGCCTCTTGGATTCCTAGGAAAAGATGAGTTAAAGCGAACTGACTTAACCCAATATTTAGAAGAAGGAATATTGACTGTGGTAGCTGTAGAATGGCTTGATTTGTGAACTGGGGGAGAAATTTAAAGATGGAGTGTCAGCTATTATTATATAGCTATGGTACTGAAGACTCACTTTATCTCTCTTTGAAAAGTTGACCTCTTTTCTGCTTGTAGCTATGTCACCCTTGAGTGAACAGAGAACATTGATTTATGGTGAAATGCAGTGGTCAAATTCTGTCATCAGTAGTTGCAAATCCTGGGTTTACTGCTATATGGGTTACCAAGAAATGAAATCCAATCAATTATTTTTCTTGGTTTACCTTTCCCATATAGATGGATTTATAAATGGCAAAGTCTGTAAGTAGGGTGCCTTAGTGTTGGGTGAAAAAGTGTTGACAAGTTGTGGCTTTGGTTTGATGAGCTATCAGTTTGTTATTATAATGTAGCGCCTACTCATATTTATTGATATCCAAGATGCCATGATCATCCACTAGACATGCTGGTACCCGGTTAACTTTCAGTAGGTGGAGGCAAACTTTGGCACAGCTTGGAGGACTGCAGTTCCCTTTCCAAAGGTGTTCTAAACTGAGCAATGGAGCCTATGCAGAAAATTGCAGATGGCATCAGCTGGAAGGCTCAGCGCTGTTGATGAGGAAGACCCCACCCCTCATGCTGGAAAGCCACTGGCCTTCCTAACCTGGTACCATCCAGATGTTTAAGAGTACAACTTCCAGCATCTCTCATCATTTATTTGCCTGCCAGTTAGGACTCATTGGAGTTGCAATCCAAAACATCTGGGGGACACCAGCTTTCGGAATGGTGGAGTAGATTACAGCGGGTTCATCAGTTATGGGCAGACTTCATGCTTGTAGGATTTACTTCTGTGTCTGTTTGTTTTACTAGATGCAAAAGGGTACCTTGTCATCTAGGGGCAGGGGTATGTTGACTTGTGCGGATGGGGCTGTCACCTACAGCACCCAGTGATGACCAGTATGAACAAACACAAATCTAGATTTGACTGACTACAGTTTCAAGATTTTAACCATCTGATTCGGAAGAGGGGAAAGTTGTGTCACTGTTGCCTGGAAACCCTTGCTGATATACTACCAATTCCATCTACCAGTAGATCTAGATCTACCTTTTGTCCACCCCTGGTTGGATGGATCAAGTGCCTAACTCAGTGTAAGGCAGCTTCCTGTTTTCAGAAGACTATGATAAATCTTTTTGTTTGATTGGCTGGCTGTCAAGGAAAGCAACGGACAGAAAATGCTGTCTTTCCAGCAAAGCAGTATAGTGGAATGGAATTTTTAGCAGCATACAAAGAGGGAGAGCAAGGAAGCTAGAAATAGTCTTCATTAGCAGACTGTGAAAGAAGATGACATTTCAGTAGATTCTCTTTCCTGTAACTCAAGGGGTTGAGGGTAATTCCAATATTCGTCAGAAAAGGTAAAAAAAGAAATGATGACTGTCTTGGGACAGGGATCAAGAGAGAGGAGTGCTATCCTTTGATTTCAGTCGCCACCCTTCTATCTCTCATCCATTTTGCCTCAAATTTAAAATGTGTAACTAGAAAATCCCTTGATATAATGAGAAATTAGGGGCTAATTTCCACCTAAGTAATAACCCTGTGTCTGGGTGGTATTACTTCAACTGTAGATCAGTTCCCATGACAATACCCTCTCTATACAAAAACATTATTTCCATATAAAAATTACATATTACAGAGGAGGTTAGACTAAGGTAGATCAGCATCTGCTGGAAGATTGCTGGATGATTTGCAGTCTATGAGCAAGGGTTTCTGACTCCTGGTTGTTTAGCAATACTAACAACAAAATCCACACCCAGATTTAACTGCAGAAATTATGAAAGCCTGGGATAACCAAGAATTGAATTTTATGTGATCAAACTGTGAGTTCAGATCAGTTCTAAGGGCTGAATACTTAATTTCTAGTCTCATTGTGCTGTGAACCTCCCTGTGCTTTCTGTTCTAGGGAACAGTCTACATGCCAGGTTCATTGTGTAACA